AGGGCTCAGTAACATCCTCTGAGAAGCCTTTCTTGACTTGCTTATCTAGATTAGCACCTCCTTTTTTTGTTGAGTTGGAGTCTCACTCTCTCACCCAGACTGGAGTGCAGTGACACGCTCCCAGCCACCACAGCCTCGACCTGCTGGGCTCCGGTGATCCTTCTGCCTCAGCCTTCCAAGTAGCTGGAACTACAGGCGCGTGCTACCACGCCTGGCTAATTTTTTGATTTATTGTAGAGATGAGGTCTCACCAAGTTGCCCGGGTGGGTCTCGAACCCGCGTGCTCAGGCAATCCACTCACCTCAGCCTCCCAAAGCACAGGATTATAGGCTGAGCCACCGAGCCTGGCTGCACCTCCTTTTTTAACTGTGCCCAGCATCAGTGTCACAGGGCAGGGACCATTTCCTATGTTCATTGTTGCATCAAGCCCAGTGATTCATGCACAGTGGCACTTAGTGAATATGTGATTGAATGGAATTGCTGGACACGGTCAAGTTCCCATGCCTTTATTTATTTATTTATTCATTACTTTTTAACTAGCTACTCTTTTTTTTTTCTTTTTAAAAATTTTTTCAATTTTTATTATGGAAATTTGGAGTGCACATAAGGATTAACTACACAAGTAGGCTGCATGCAGGTGAAGTTTGGGCCTTCAACTGGCCCTCACTTTCCCTGGTTTGGGACCAGGTACCCCGCCTTTGTGTTGTTATGTGCTCCCTGCCCACACTCCCTTCTCTGGCAGTGCCCAGTGACTGCCAATCCCTTCCTTGTGTTATTGTGATTAATGTTCAGGTCCCACTACAAGTGAGAACACGCAGTATTCAGTTCTTTGTATCTGTGATAGACACTAAGTATGATGGTCTCCAACTCTATCCAGTTTGCTACAAAGTTCATGACTTTGTTCTTCTTTATGTCTGCATAATACTCAATATGTATATGTACCACATTTTCTTTATCTAGTTCACTTTAGATGGGCAGTAGGGTAGATTCCATGTTTTTGCCATTGTGAATAGTGCAGCTATACACGCGTGTGCAGGCATCTTTTTTGTAGAATAATTTATGTTTCTCTGGGTATATTCCCAGGAGAGGGATTTCTGGATCATATGGGAGGTCAATTTTTAGTTCTTTTAGGAATTACCACACTACTTTCCATAGAGGTTGAACTAATTTGCACTTCCACCAACAGTGTAGAAGTATTCCCTTTTCTTCACACCCCTAACAACTGTTGATTTTTGATTTATTAATGGTGGCCATCCTAGAGTGGGGAGACAACCCACAGAATGGGAATAATATTTGCTAATTATATATCTAGCAGAGGCCTAATATCCAGGATCTACAAGGAACTCAAATGAACTGCAAGGAAGAAAACAAACAGCTCTATTAAAAAGTGGACAAAGGACATGAATGGACACTTCTCAAAAGAAGATATACAAGCAGCCGATAGATACATGGAAAAATATTTCGCTTCACTAATCATCAGAGAAATGCAAATCAAAACTACAATGAGATACTCCCATGCCTTTATACATGCTGTTTCTCATTACTTGAAATACTCATTTCCTGTCTTCCTGCATGCTTGGCCCCTTGAACACTTCCCCATCTACTCCAGGCTGAATTACTTGCTGTCCTGCTGTGTTCTTAGAATGCTTTTAACATTCCTACTATTCAGCATGTCATCTCCCATTGTACTACAGATAGTTGAGTAGGGGTCTTTCTTCAACACTTGAGGATGGTGGAAGAACAAGAGCTGCCCTTTTTACTCATCTCTCAGCCCTCAGAGCCTAATAACCCTGCTTAGTACTTAGTCTTAAGTAAATATTTACCTAATGAGTTAAGATACGTGATTGTCTCCTAATTTAAAAAAATTTTTTTCATTAGAAAGCCTATGCATTAACATAATTTAGAGAAACATAGTAGGCAAACCATGCCAATATGCTTAGTCTCCATCATCTTCATGGATAATTTTTTTCTAGAGCAAAACTTTTTTTTACACTATTCATAGAACATTTAATTTTATAACTATTTCAGAGTATGAATACATTTCATTATGAATATGAATTATTATAGAAATTTTCAAAAGAATTTTGTTAGAAAAAAATTAATATGACATTTAATGCTAACACCCAGGCACGATATCTGTATGGCAGCATGTATTTCTTAAAAAAACAAAGACCATGTCTATATTTGTGAGTATTTATATGTATCATTTTATGTGTAGTTTTCATTCATTACAATCACTGACTATATCATAAAAATGTAAACTTAGAATGCTGTATGTTTTAAAAAAAAATATACTACAAGCATTTCTGTTGTCATTAGTGTAATGTTTGACTTTTCTTATACTAGAATATTGTTTCTTTTTTCTTTTTTTTGAGTTGGAATCTCACTTTGTCACCCAGAGTGGAGTGCAGTGGCATGCTCCTGGCCACTGCAGCCTCGCCCTACTGGGCTCAGGTGATCCTCCCGCCTAAGCCTTCCAAGTAGCTGGAACTACAGTCACGCGCTACCGTGCCTGGCTAATTTTTTGATTTATTGTAGAGATGAGGTCTCGCCAAATTGCTCAGGTGGGTCTCGAACTCACGGGCTCAGGCAGTCCACTTACCTCAGCCTCCCAAAGCGCGGGATTACAGGCTGAGCCACCAAGCCCAGCTAGAATATTTTTTTCAAGGGTTTTGCATGTTGTGTATTGAGATGATGCTTTTTTCCCTCACTGCATTCATGTAAAACCTGGTTCTATTAATGATGTGTCCTTCAAATCCTGAAAATGACTTCATCTGTGACAATAGCTAGTTATACTTCAAATCAGATGAAGTGACAGAGTAGAATATTCAAGAAAAAGGTTCTGAAGTGTGATCACTCCTTAATATTAAATTCACAAAAAGATATGAGATGATAATTCTTTACCATGGTTCTAAATGTTGAAATGTAAAAGAGGGCTTCTGATGTGGGCTTTAAGGGCTGTCTATAATGAGGATTCACCCTCTGAGAAACTGCAATCTGTCATTAGGCAATAGGGAGAGATGCAGGGGCTTTTCTGTGCACAGAGCACTTGGTCAGCGGAGCCATGCATTTGTTTTGCATTGCAATAAAGGAACAACTGAGGCTGGGTAATTTATAAGGAAAAGGGATGTATTTGTTCATAGTTCTGCATGGTGCAGGCATCTACTCAGCTTCTGGTAAGGCCTCAAGAAGCTTACAGTTATAGTGAAGTGGGAAAGAGGGCAGGTGTGACATATGGTGAGAGTGGAAGTAAGAGAATGAAGATAGGTGCCAAGCTCTTTTAAATAACCGACTTTCTCGTGAGCTAATAGAGTGAGAATTCACTCATTACGGTAACTACAGCACCAAACAAGCCATCTAGGAGGAATCCATCCCCATGATCAAGCTCCTCATGCCAGGCCCCACCTCCAACATTGGGGATCACATTTCAGCATGGGATTTGAAGGGACAAACATTCAAACCATATCAAGAGGCATGAAAAGATTAAATACTATAAAACAACTCTGGAGAATAATTATTGTTCTCCTTTTCTAATCTAAAATTTTTTAAACTAATTTTTTTTAAACTCTTAAACTTATGCAAAGTTAATAAAGGGGATTGTCAGTAAAAAGCGTGGCATGTGGAAAATCATCACTTGAGCCTAGTTATTCACTTGTGTGGTTTTTCTCTACTCCCAGTGGGCACTCATTTCATCATCTTAATGAAACCGTACACATGTGGCACTTCAGAGTCTGGGTTCTGACCATAGTTCTGTCTTTTTGGCTTATTTTCACTGTATTTTCTGAACATCTGTTTCTTTGTCTATAAGATATAAACAATAATTTCACCTGAGGTGGTTTTGAAATTTAAATGAGCTTTTCTGCGTAGAGTGCCAAGCACAGGGCTGGACACCCAGAGTGATCACATAGTACTGATTCTCAGCCTACTTTCCACCTTCTGCCCTTCTTTTCTATTTCAGTAAAAATTAGAGTATCTGCTACTTGTCATATGTTGTGGTTAAAACTGATTTGTCTCATTAAGACCAAAAAGCTGAAATAGGCAAAGACTTGATTTTCAAGTAACTTACAGTTAGTGGTGGTAGGAAGCAATTAATTGCTTAAAGCAATAAGCTATAATATAATACAGAATAAAATAAATAATAAATAAAGTTGCAAGCAGTGTGTAGGTGTTGACCGGGGAGGACTTATAGAGGAGAGGATACATGGTATTGGCATTTAAGGACATACAGATTTTTCACAATGAACACAGTAGTAAAAGATAATTCCAAATGTGACATTGCATATCATGTTAGATAAGTAGCGAGTTGTAGACGTTTTGTCTTGAGCATGGGACACGTGGTGGGAGCTTAGGCTGGAAAATTGGAGTGGAGGCAGAGCTCTCATGCAAATAGTTTCACTCCATGGCAGAAGAGCTGATATGAAGCAAAAGACAAAAATGCACCTGGGCTAGCTCATGGATGTAATCATACTAACTACTGACAAAATTACCAAATGGTCATGAAATGCTTGCTAAGTATTGGAATCCATCTGATGCCACTTACTGTCAGAGTAGGTACTGTCCTTGTTGGCAGTATGAACTCCTCAGACTAGAGACTACTATATGAGATAACTGATGGTTAAATAATTTATGAGGAAGCAGATTAGAGAAATAAGACTTTGTATTATTCCATTCCATATGGGTATGGAATTAGGCACATGGTTTTTCTCAGAGCAAGGAAGTTCTCCAAGCAAATGCTGCTACCAACCAAGTTTCTTTTGGAAGTAGGAATTAGATTCCCTAGGGTAATTTACTTTAACCTTGGAGAATTCTGCTTACATTGTCCTAAACATCTGTCATTAGAGAATTTAGTTGTTGCCTGCTAGTCAAAATAATTTGGGCTGGATGTTGTGTTTGCGAATAATAGGCATTAACAAGCAAAGCTAGATGCTGTGTATTAAAAATTAAATGCCAATATGGCTATTGTAAGAGACTTTCATGTCCTTTGTTATTTATATTTCTAGGGACCTTATACCTATCATTGCTGCTCTGGAATACAATCAGTGGTTCACAAAGCTGTCCTCTAAAGATCTAAAACTGGTAAGTAATTGAAGATGCAGGAAATGTTGCTTTACTGAATTTAAAAAAACCTGATAATTGTCAAAAAGCAAAAGCAAAACAAAACAAAACAAAAAACCCATTAAAAACCATATTTTTCTACTATACTGGTAAGATGCATACATTTTATTTCTTAAGGAGATATTTTCCTGTAAGTGACTTGTATAACATTTAGTAAAGTTTGTAACGTAAGATGTTTTAAAGAAGTATTTCCTTCATGTTTCAGCTGTTGCAGGCAATTTTAGAAATGAACAAAAATATACTTTTATTGTAGACATCAGTAAAGATTCATTTAGTTGGCAAAAACTATTAAAGTTGCGTTTGCACAGCTGCAAGTAGCAGATTTTATATTACTGTCTTACATCCTGTCTCCACAAAGTTTCCCTTCCTAGGAATTCAGGAAAACTTTAACAGAGTTGGTGTGGTTAAGTGATGATAGTTAATATTGATTTTCTAGATGGGTTTTGGGGCAGATTTATATGTAAGCAAAATAAAATCAAAGTAAGATCTGTTAGTTTTCATAAAGTATGGAGTAGCCAAATATTTGATCTATTTTATTGTTGGAAATATGATGCTCTTTTGGGGATTATCCAAGCTCAAAGCAGTCATATGGACTGATGCTTCTCCATGAATTAGCTGTCTGATGCTTCTTTTTAGGATGAGACATAATGTAGGTGTTGTTTATTGAAGACTCACATTTAAGTCTCCAGCTTTTAGAGGTCAGAGAATATGGGGGTTTAAGATTTTTATAGTGAAAATATTGGATTTGGATTGAGACACGGATCTGTAGAAAGTGGAAGGTTAAGATTGGCTACTGGGCAGGCTGTTTGGTTGGTTCTCTGAATTTACCTGGAGTGTAAGCATTATATGTATGAATGGACTGAGCTCATTCGGGGTCCCTTAGTAGCCAACATAGGAGAGGAAAAGAGTGTGGACTTAGAATCAGAAACTGGGTTTCAGATTCTGACTTTTATTGCTAGATTCTATGTCCTTAGATGTGTTACCTAACCTTTCAGGGCCTCAGCTTTCTGTATACCTATTATTTTGAGCTAGTGGGAGTTCATATTTTATTCATCTCTATCTAGTGCTTATCGAAATGTGTGGCTCATAGTAACCACTCAATAAAAATTCATTTACTAAATAGATGTCAAATAAGTTTGTTGAATGCAAAAAATTAACATAGCAATACAAGTAATTTACAGATAGTTGAAGTGAGTAAATTATGTGTGTAGAAATTTTTACACATTGCTTGACATATTGCAGGCTTTCATAACTGTTAGCTGTCATCATCATAATCAGAGTAGCAAAAAGATTGAGAAATGTTTTTGAGCAGTGATGTTGGAGCTAGGGGTGGCTGGGTTGGGAACCAGGTGAGCCTTCAGGGAACAGACAGGTAACTATGATGGGAAACCTGGGAACAGAAGCCTTTTGTTTGCTGCTCTCTGGGATGGGACTTTTTTAGAACTAAGCCAGCAAAGATTACAGGTGGAAATGAGGAGCCACTGGAGGAACGGGAAGTAGATTAGTTGAGGGATTGTGGGATCAGAGAGAACAATGGTTTGCTACCAAGTCAGTTTTCCAGCTCATTCAGACATTCACATAAGCTTGTGATTTTCAAAATGGGGATCCAAGAGGGTTTTGAGGAAGTTGTGGATATCTTGCTTTTGGAAATGGTCCCAACTTATTATTACAGAAAGTTGTCTAGACAATTGGTACGCCATTCTGTCTTCGTTCCTCCCATGTATCATTTTTTTTTTTTTCCTGCTGCCTTACATGTTCAGGATGGAAAATATGCACCTAATCATTTTAGTCTTGGCAAAACAAAGCATGTAGGTGCTTGTATGTTTTTTGGGTGTCTTGGGATGGAAGGAAGTAGAGTGATAGGATTTGGGGACAGCTCCTACTGCTTTTCTATGAACACAAATACATTTGTATATATTTCTTAATATTTAGCGTTTTAAAATGAAAAATGGTCTTTGTGGCTATCTCTCTACAAATCTTCAAAAATAATACTAAATTCTTTCTGTTTTTCACCCAAGTTAGAAAGAAATGATACTTTCCTCTGATGAGTACTCTAATGGGCAATCTCAGGATACTCTCTATCACTGGGTTTATTTGAAACAATGGACAAAATGAAGGGGCACATTTTCTTTGGATTTTTCTAAACGTGAAGTGCATGACAAAAATAAGTGGCTTTTCTCAAGTTATATAAACTCTCTGGGTTAAAATTGTCCCTAGCCCAATAAAAGCCTTATTACCTAAGGTGCCACAAGAGAAATATGATTTATTTGCTTTATGCTGATCTTATTAAGCAAATTAGCGGTCACAATTCCTAATTTGTATACAGGTTTTTAAAAAAGATACCAAATATATGATTAGGGTCATATTTATTTTCAACATTCTTGATTCATTAAAAAATCAGTAGAATTGGGGTCTTGCTTAGTTTTTCTAGTTTTGTATCTCAGGCGAGTCAGTGAGTATCACTGCATCTTCTTTTAGTCTTTTAAAAATGATATGGCTGGACGAGATGATATTTATGGTTTCTTTCACTTCTAAAGTTCAATATTTTATTTTGCGCTACTTCATTTTAAAAAAAATAGTGATTCTAGTTAATTTTTATTTTTATATATTCTTTAGAAAAGAAAGATTTCCACATAGGTGGCACTTAATCAAAATTACTAGATTTAATGTAATCATGAATGACTTGTTACTCCCCTCCCCTACTGATATGGTAAATAAAAGTTAGACATTCTTTCATGCATTTTCTTAAGTAAGTTTTTTAAACAGTATTTATACCCCAATGGGATTTAAATCTTCAAAGCCCTGTTTTGGTAAATTACTTGTCTGTGTGCTCTGCAATGTAGCTCAGAAAGGGTAATGAGTCTGGGGATTTTTTCTGGAAATTAGGATAATCCCTGCAAAAACATGATCTAAGTAATGACTTTTTATCATGACAACACAGAATAAGATCAGTTCCCATGTATGTACATTGTGAAACAGAATTATACTGATAAGGGGACACCATTTTGAAAATCATTACTGTCAGCATAATGTAAATTGCAGGCATCAGGTCAATTGGAATTAATTTTTTCCTTCCTTCATTAATCAGTGGGACACACTAGGAACTCAGGAATAGTGTGAAAGTGGCATTATAGACTGAAAGGAATCAAACAGCATGTAAGAATTATGAGAGCCTTAGATGCTGTGGGACTTGGGGCATTTCCAAGTTAGGTGTTCTTAAAAATATTTGGCTGGAGAACTTGTGCAACATTTCAGACTCTGTTCCAATTGTGGTTCATCCGGTTGGGTGTTTGTGATTTGATATGTTAAAGAACTGTAATATTTTTATGCGATATTTTAAGAAAAAAAATGCTTTGACTATTGTATGCTGTGGTATATAGAACATGCCTTTTTTTTTTTAGTGTCATAAAGGATTGAAGTAGACTTTAAGTTGTAATAAGATTTTTTTTAAAACTTAAAAATTTTTTATTTTAATATTGTGGGGTACAATTCAGGGTTGGTTATACAAATCTTCATTATGCAGGTACCCTTGTTGATGAGGTGTGCCACCCTTCCCCAGACAGATTCCCACTACTGCCAATCTCCCCCTCCCCCCCCCCCCCCC